GTTAAGAATGAAGACGAAAATTCTGATAAAGACTGTGAGATAATTGAAATTTCAGAAGATAGTCCTGCAAACCTAGATTTCCATGTTAAAGAAGAGGAAAGCAACACATTACAGTCTGCTGTAGAGAGGTTGACATCAGAGCGAAGGGGAATGAAGTCACCAGAGCTCTCTACAGTAGATAGTGGTTTTAAAGAGAATGAAATTTGTATCCTCCACGTAGAATCGATCAGTACAGATGGTGTAGAGAATGGACAGTTTCCACAGCCTTGCACCTCATCCAAAGCAAGCATGTATTTCCCAGAAACACAGCATTCACTGATCAATTCTACAGTTGAGAGCAGAGTGGCAGAAGTTCCTGGAAATCAAAATCAAGGGTTATTTTGTGAGAATCCTGATGGAAGTCATGGCACAGTAAATGAGATCCAGAATCTAGATGAGAATTTTTCATTGAGGCACCAGTGCCCCAGATGCCCAAGGGGCTTTCTTCATGTAGAAAACTATCTGCGTCACCTTAAGATGCATAAACTGTTCTTGTGCTTGCAGTGTGGGAAAACATTTACACAGAAGAAAAATCTCAACCGGCATATTCGAGGACACATGGGTATACGACCCTTTCAGTGTACTGTGTGCTTGAAGACCTTTACTGCTAAAAGCACACTTCAGGACCACTTGAACATACACAGTGGGGACCGGCCATATAAATGCCATTGTTGTGATATGGATTTCAAACACAAATCTGCTCTCAAAAAGCACTTAACCTCTGTTCATGGCAGAAGTAGTGGTGAAAAACTATCTAGGCCTGATCTCAAAAGGCAGAATTTACTGTAATCAAATCAGGAACTTGGGATGAAAGCATAGAATCACTCTGTTAGGCATGTCTGTTTTTAAAGATGCAGTGTTGGTAGTGTGCCTCCCCGCCAATCTTTAGCTTTCATTTTTGTTCTTCCTATGTGCTATTCATTCTGAATTTCTAATAGTTCTGAAGTTGTGAATGAAGTGAGTGAATTGAAGTGAGTGAAGTGAAATTAAGTTTATGGGATTAAGTCTATGTTGTTTTAAACATTAGCTATTGCCTTCTGTTCAGCAGTAATTGCAGATTCTGACTTGTAGTTTTTAGATTAGTGATTTAATGTTGAATCTAACTAACTATATAGTAACTTTAATGAGTTAGAAGGACAAGAAACTAGACTTGAAAGTATAGTGTTGTCCATTACTATTAATTTTGACAACATGTAGGACTAACAGTTTTCTTTTTAATGTTTAACCAGTGTACTTGGATTGTAGCTAGAACACCAAGTTATATTCAGATTCACATGGGACCAGCAGATTGTCCTTAGAATTGCATTATTAAAATATCCAAGAGAATATGTAATAGACCCTATTCCTGATTACATATAATATAGTTGGATTAAGAACTCTGTGGCCAATGCAAGTATTTTCTTGGCTTAGACTGGAAAGTTTCTTTTCTTTTTGGTTTTTCGAGACAGGGTTTCTCTGTGTGGCCCTACCTGTCCTGGAACTTGCTTTGTAGACCAGGCTGGGCTTGAATTCACAGAAATCCTCCTGCCTCTGCCTCCCAAGTGCTAGGATTAAAGGCATGCACCACCATGCCCAGCTGCAAGTTACCTTTCTTAAATATTCCAGTTTAAGTAAAGACAAGTTCTACTGTTTACTTAGGGTTTTTTGTTTTGTTTTGTTTTGGTTAACATGCACTAAAATTGACCTTTCTCTGAGGAGTTATTTTTCAATGAATTTAACACATAGAATAATTTTCTGCAGCTGGGACACAGAATAGTTTCACCACCTTCTGGAAGGCCCTTATGCTGCTCCTCTATTGTCTACTCTTCCAACTCTAAATTCTAGTAAGAGTTGTTCACTACAGTTTGTTCAAATCTGGGATGATATAAAACTGGGATCTTCTAGTATATTTCCTTTTGATACTTTTTTTTTATACAACATAATGCCTTTAAGCTTCATTTATGTGTCTATTAACAAGTTTTTTTTTATATTTCTCTTTAACTTTTGACGTGATTTGTATAGCCCAGGTTAGCTCAAATTTGCTTCACTTCTTGAACACTGGGATTATGCCTTGCCTCTTTTATATTTTGAATTGCCTATAAATACATTTTCTTTTCAAACCGTCACCAGGTGAATAGTTTAAATTTAGAAAGCTACTACAATTAGTTATAATGTCTTGTTTATATGAATACCTCTAAATTCAAAACTTTTTTGCCCTTAGAGTGAAGAGCAAAATTCACTGCAGGGCAGATCACCTTCCCTGACCATAGGAAGCACTCAAGGTGTCCTATTTCTCTTCATAACTCAGCTCTATGTAGAGTTTCTGCTGTAATTAAGTTCTGTTGACACTCACAGTTTGGTATTTTAACTTGTAATATACTTTGTACTATAAAAGAGTTTTGAAAATCATATGTGTTAAATACAATTTTTGTAATACTTTTGTGGGAATAATGCTCTATGTAGAATTTGAACTCTGGGAGAGACTTTAAAGAATCTATGTCTCACAATTGACTTCATAACCCAAGTCACTAATTTGTCACTTGTCCTTCAACCTTTCTTAATTTTATATAAAATAACTTTGATCTTCATAATTTGTAGAATTATTTCTAGATTATTTAAATTCTTTAAAGTTAAATATCTAAATTATTTCTAAATTTCTACAAATTTATATTCATGTGAACAGAGGAGACATGTATGTCTTTATGAATACTGTTATTTGAGTACTTTCTTGGAGACAGAACTTTTCTAAGGTAAACACTTTGTTCCATTAGATAATGGACAAGTTTAGTGGTTAATTTCCTTACCCACATGACTTAAGAATGGTCAATTATAGTTGTGAAAGCATTTCCCTCTGAGAAATTGTTTACTTGAGACTGAAGTGCTTCTCTTAATTTTGTTTCCTGAGTGATTTTGGAGGGGAGGGCTGGGGATGGGTAGAGAGGGTAAACTATAGTAAAAAAACTGATTTTTTTCAAGGAAGTAGTATCTACTATACTGGATGTTTGGGACATTTTGATTGAAGGTGTTTTAAGTTTGATTTGTGCCTTGTAAGATTGTTGTAAAAATTTTTGTGAGCACTTTGAAATTTTTGCTTGTGGGGAGGGTGTTTTATAAAGTGGTTGTTATTTATACTATTTATTTCTGTTATGTGGACAGGTTGATTTCAAAACATTCCTAGGAGTTGGGTGAAGTGTACACATGCCTGTCTATAATCCCAGCACTTGGGAGGTTGAGGCAAGAGAATCAATTCAGGGCTAGCCTTCATTACATAGCTAAGTTTGAGGCCAGCCTCAGCTACAGGATACCTTGTTTCATGAAAAACTAAAAACAAAAAAGTAAACAAACAAAAAACATTCCTGGGAGAGTGTCTGTTTGCATGACATGTCTGAAAAATTCAGCAAAGTAGAATCTGTTAAATTATGCAGGTATGACAAAGTGTAGCATTTATTAATTTTTTAATACTTTTAGCTGTTTATGACAAAAATATGTTTGGGTTGAGTCTCTTATTTACTGCATTTGTATATGTAAAAGATCTTGAAAAGGTAGTTATTTTGTTGCAGAGAAAAATCCTTTTCTCTTTTCATTGGATGTAATTATGTTTGAATAAAGCATAATAAACTGGAGGTGAGAATGGAGAACTTGGAGCTTGTGTATTTCTGTGAATTTTAAAGGACTCAGGTTAGAAAATGTATAAATATAAATTTTCTCATCGCTGTCCATTTGAAAATACAGAAATGTACACATGATGGGAAATTTTCTTTATTGATTAGCATAATTGAATGAAAATAGGAATAACAAATGGAAGTAAGGTCAATGGGGGCGGCCAATGAATCTTTCACAAAAATCCTGTTCTTGTCACACTTTGCCAACAGCTTTGGGTCCCCTCCCTGAGCTACAGCTGCAGGCAGTTGTGAGCTGCTGGGGCTATGGAGGGTGTGTGTGTGTGTATACAAATATTGGGGTGTGGGGAGAATTCTTCCTGTGCTGCCCAGTCTATGATTCTGCCCCAGCCTTTCATTTGCTGGGTTCACAGGCATGCACCATCACACCTGGCTTACAAATCGTGTATTTTGAAGGTTCATTATCAAAGTCACTTTTCCATATTCTAATTTATGCACAGATAACTATCACAGATTTTTTTTTGAACATCTCATTTTACATTGGAAAATGTGAGTTTAATTACAGGGCATAACCATTAACCTTTATTCCTCAGTTTTACATCATTAACAAAGGTTACACAGTATCAATCTTTTAGTATTTGGTAAGTAAATTATAAATAAAACTAAAATGCCTTTGAAATATCACTTTTACGGCCTGGCATATAGTAGTTCATAATTGTTGCTTTCCTCGTCCTTATTCTCAGTGTTTCTTCATTTATAAGAACATAGAGGGTAATTCCCACCTTACAGTTTGCTATATAAATCATAGTGCCGAAACTTATAAATTGGTCCTCCCCACCCCCTTATGGGGCATTTGGGATTTTAAATAAGTAGGTGGGTCCGCCAAAGAAACGTTTCACTTTGGTCCTGGTAAACTGGAATATTATTTGCTAATCTAGTCAGTATCTCACAAGAGAGTGCAGTAGGATGTAACATGGATGTATCAGGTTCTGCTCAATGGGAGTTTAACGTTGGCTCGACCACACAAGCCGCCTGGCTCAAGGTTTAGATGGTTGTGCAGGGAGTTTCCCATAAGTCTCGTTGGCTTGCCTAGTCCTCACAGCATCTCCCACAGTACTCTGGGGCTCCTTTGTCATGTGACGAGGGTGGATTTCTTCAGAGTGTAACTGATGCGCAGTTTAGGTGGCCAGGGCCACTACGCTTCCCTTCCACCCCAACTCCCGGGCTTGCGTAATCTCGCGTGAAGTGAACAGTATCATCTCGCGAGAGCTAAGTCGGGATCCCTCCAGGTCCGCCTCCGTGGTGAGGAGGAGGAGGAGGAGAAGGAGGAGGAGGCGGAGGGAGGGAGGAGGAGGCCCCGTCGCGGCCTTCGCCGCCGCCAACGGGGCTGTCCCTGTAGCTCCCGATGGAGTTTGAGGCCCTGAAACCGCCGCCGAGCTCTGCCCCGGCGAGACGAGGCGCCTCCGTCGCCGAGCCGCGCCGTCGCGGGGCCCCCGGGAGCGGCCCTTAGCGACCCCGCCCGGGCCCCTCAGGTAGGGCGGGGGCGGGCACGATGCGGCTGTGGCCCCGGCCCGGCTGCCCGGTCCCCAGAGGTGGGGCGGGGAGATGTCTCTGCCCGGCGGCCTGTGCATGGTGGCCGCCGGTGCCCCGAGGGTTGGGAACCGCGGGCCGCACCTGACACTCGGCGGAACCCGGGCCCCGAGGAGGCCCCTCGCTCCGGTAGGGCTTTTTGATGAGAGGCGAAACGCTCAAATGGCCACCTTCCTCTAACACCGGCCGAAGGGACGGCCCTGACCACTGAGGAGCCCACCCGAGCAGAGGCCGGCTTCCTTCTTTACTTACCCCAGTTAGGAAGAGGGGCTTCCGAAGAGGTCCCCGAGATCACGTCCGTCCTAGCGTTTCCTCTTTCAGACTCGGGGCTTACCGAGACCCCAGCGCGAGGATGGTAGAGGCGATCAGCGTGGTGTAAATAGGAACCCTGGCCAAACAATGCCCAGGGAGGGTTTAACGTCCCTGGAGAGAGATGGCTGGACCAGAGAGGGTGCGCAAGGGATGTGACTAGGAGCCATGGCATGAAGCACAGCCAGGGAATTCTGCTATGCCTTTCTTTCCCTCTTTCGTCTTATTTTCTTTGGGGAAGCCTCTTGAGGAGACTCTTCCACCATCTTAGGAGAATGGTAGAAAGCATCTTTGTTTGTCAGAGAAACAGCTGTACTTTCTCTGTCCTTAGCCTTCAAGAAGGAAGGAGATAAGGATAGCTGTCATTTTCATCCTTGAAATCACCAGAGTTTTAAGATACTGGCAGGTACAGACTTCACACCGAAATAGCCACAAGTAATCACAGACATAATCAAATTCAGTGATTCTCAACCTGTTTATATTTTTGTTTAAGCTCTACCTCAGTTTTTTTTTTAATCCGACTGCCCTCTTACCTAGGACCCTTTTTAGTAATTTCTTCTCACCTTGACCTGCTGTGATTAGTGACTTTGTATCTCAAATAAAGTGTTTAAATAATCTTACCATCATTTTTTATTAGTCACACTTTAAAGTTCCAGTAAAAAAAACTTTTAGTTAACCTGAGAAAGCTAATAATGACACACTAAAGTGATATAATTTGACCCAGAAGGAAAGAAACAAATGTTTTAGTTGGTGGGTCCAGTCTTTTTATAGTGAAATGTATACACAACCTAAGACTTGGAATCGTCAAGAATAGTTTGTAAATCCCCTCATTTCCACCTTTTATCTGGTTAAAAAAAACTACATCACTACTGACTAAAGTTGTTTACTAACACAGTCCATTCTTGAAAAAATAGAGACCATCACATTCTATCAAAAGCTATTTTCCAGTATTGCCCTTTTCGTTATTGTTGTTTTTGATTTGGAGATTCTTGTTTCCCCAAATTTCAGAGTTTGGAAAATTGCTAGAAGAACAAAACGTTAAATATATTTCCCAGTCTTGCTTAGAAAAGGCAGAGACCAAATTCACACAGGCTTTTATTCCTTGAGAATCTATTTGCAATCTAGTTTATTAGTAGAACCTTTGAATTATTCTTGATCTGTTATTGTTGTGTTAGTCTGACATGCAAGAAGACTTAATGTTTGTTGTTCATGTTTTCATTAATTCACTTTCTATGTTTGTAAATTTGCTGCCTTCCGGTTGGCAAAAGCATTTTTTCTCTACCCTCAGGATTTTATATTTAAGACTAGAACCTCTACGTTGTGTGTGATGGCTAAGAATGCTATAAATTTGTTAACAAGGTTGTTTGTTTTTTTATTAATTTGTTTTGTTTTCTTTTTTTAGACAAGATCCCCTCTATGTAGCCCTGACTGTCCTGGAACTCACTATGTAGACCTCTGCCTCTGCTTTATGTGTGGTGAGACTAAAGGCGTGCACCACCATGCCTGGCGGTAACAAAGTTGTAATAAGTACTTGCTTATTTTTGGTTGGACTGGGTTGAAGTTTCACTTTCTAGTGTTGGAAAAAGGAAGTCTATGGAAAAATAAAGCTAGTTGGAAATTAAAAAAAAATGAATTGTACCCAGTCTCATGAATGTTGTTGATTTCATCTTTGTGGTCAAGTTTTCTAATTCCATGAAAACCTTAAATGTGTGACTTTTACCTCAAAATTCCTAATAAAAATTATATTTTGAGTATTACTTTATAATCATTTGTAGTCTAGATTTACCTGTACTACCTGATAGTCACATGTGAAAATTAAGGACTTGAAATGGAGCTAGTGTAACTTGAAATGTGTTGTGAAGTGCAAAAGTTATACCATATTTCAAAGACTTAATGGAAAATTCTATAGCATTTTAATGTTTTAAGTTTTTATGTGATTGCAGGTTAAAATGATATTTTACTTGTTAGGTTATATAAAATGTACCGCTAGGGCCGGGCGGTGGTGGCGCACGCCTTTAATCCCAGCACTCGGGAGGCAGAGCCAGACGGATCTCTGTGAGTTCGAGGCCAGCCTGGGCTACCAAGTGAGTTCCAGGAGAGGCGCAAAGCTACACAGAGAAACCCTGTCTCGAAAAACCAAAAAAAAAAAAAAAAGTACCGCTAATATTGACTCACCTAGTATATTCTTTTTCCTTTTTTAAAATTTGACAATCAGAAATTATTGTAGGTTTGTTTTGTTTATTTGATTCAGGGTCTCATTCTAACCCAGGCTGGCTTGGCACTCACTGTGTAGCCTAGGCTAGCTTGAACTTGGCCATCCTCTTGCCCTGAACTTCCTGAATACTTAAAGGGGTCATCTGCCACATAGTGACACAATAAATAAATAAATAAATAAATAAATAAATAAATAAGTACATGCAGAACCAAAAACTTTCCTGATAGTATGCTTTTAGAATCAGAATAATTAGAGGGTTAAGAACTTTAGTAATAAACAAGATAAGGTTATCTAGTATAGAACACATAATTAAGTTCCATCACAAAGTATTCTTTCAAAACTAGCCATCACTAAAGAAGTAGAACTTTGTTAGTTAAAATTGCAAGTTTTTTTCCTATTAGAATGCATTGAAAGTTCTATCTTACTTTAAAAACTTGGTTCAACCCCTAATTTGAGGAGTAAAACTTGATCTCATCCATTTCATAGCTTTAAACAAAATAGCAGTTTTTTTACATTGTGATACAGCTCCTTTTTTCTCCAAACTCTGTTGTACTTGAGTCCTGAGGGGTAGAATTTGCAGGTAATTTCCCTTAGCTTTTTCTTGTTTGCTTTTTAGGTTAAGTCTTACATTGTACTTCTCATGCCTTCAGTCTGATTTTAAATCTAAAGCTGTGTTTTGTTTTGTTTTGTTTTGCAGTACCGGGGATTGAATTTAAAGCTTCACAAACATTAGGCAAGTGTTCTACCACTGAGCCACATCCCTGACCAAAGCTAATTACTTTGATATGTTCTATATAGGGAAGTACTGGTGTAGTCCATTTCAGTAGCTTACAGTACTCAAATGTAAATAATGATTTTTAAAGAGTATATTTTTATGAACAGAATTATAAAATGCTGTATGTTAACACAATGCAGTGAAAAAGTACTCTACTCTGACTTTTTAAAAGTAAATGTTGTCCTGAACTGATTGTGTAATATAAGTAACAGAAAATGGAAGTGTTTAGCTGGTATGCTGATTAAAGAAGTTTCTCATTTGCATCTGTAAGACAAGTCAGTTACTCTTCGTATATCCTAAGTTTGGACTCACCGTAAGGATCTGAGACTGTTTCAGATTCCACCTCTAAGTTAGCCTTTTTAGTCCTGTGCTTTAGCTTATGCTTTTTCCTTTTTTTTTTTTTTTTTTTTTTTTTGGTTTTTCGAGACATGGTTTCTCTGTGTAGCTTTGGAGCCTGTCCTTCATCTCACTCTGTAGACCACGCTGGCCTCGAACTCACAGAGATCCACCTGGCTCTGCCTTCTGAGTGCTGGGATTAAAAGCATGTACCACCACTGCCCGGGTAACTTAGCTTTTTCAATTTTTAAAACTTAGTAGGCATCTAGACTTTTGAATCCATTTTACCCTGGACTTGAAACATTTGGAAAGTATATTTAGGGATAAGTACTTCTAGTCACTGTAATTGTTAGCAGCAATTAAGATAACCACTGAATCAAGTAATTGTTAAAATGCATCACTATAAGCCTAAAAGTTCTATAAATTAATACACCTATATTTCTGTTGTTTATTTATATGTTTCTCTTAAGAATATAAAATAGGGGGCTGGAGAGATGGCTCAGAGGTTAAGAGCACTGGCTGCTCTTCCAGAGGTCCTGAGTTCAATTCCCAGCAACCACATGGTGGCTCACAACCATCCATAATGAGATCTGGTGCCCTCTTCTGGTGTGCAGTCAGAACACTGTATAGACAATAAATAAATAAATAAAATATTTAAAAAAAAAAAAAAACAAAAAGCATAGAGTTCTTTAAAAAAAAAAAAAAAAAAAAAAAAAAAAAAAAAAAAAAAAAGAATATAAAATAATAGGATATCTATCATTTTGGGCAGTTGTAAAAGTATTTTGTAGATAAGCTTAAGAAGTACCTTTTGCCTGGCTTAGTGGCACATACCTTTAATCCCATTTACTTGGAAGGCAGAGGTAGGCGGATCTCTGAGTTTTAAGGTCAGCCTGGTCTACAGAGCAAGTTCCAGGGTGGCTAGAGCTACACAGAGAAACCCTGTCTTGAAAAATGAGAAGAAAAAAAAAGTACCTTTTAATAGAGAGTTGAAATTCCAATTTTGTCACTAATTAAATATTTTAATGGGTTATACAAGTTTCTATGTTGTAGATAAAAAATCTTAATTTCCTATTTGAGTAACTAATCTAGAATTTGTTGATTACAGTACTGAAGGAAAACATTCATAAAAATGAAATCATATATAAGGAAAGTTTAGTTTATAAGTTTGCTGTTAGAATCTGGCATACGGCAAGGAGAAAACTCAATAGTTATTGTCAAAGTTTGATTTAGAGCTTTTCTTTACATTTTAGAGGCTTTTATTTAGTTTCTAAATATGAACTAGACTTGTCAGCAATATTAAAAGCTCTGATGTATATGCATATATAATTACAGAACTGTCAGGTGCATCTGGAGCACTGTCCTAATGGTCTTGGAAAACCAAGGAGAGTTAGTTCTTAGTCTGTTGTTGCCCCAGCAGCCTGTAATAGCCTAACTCAGTTTGGATCTGTCTGAAAAAAATATCATTTCATGTTATTAATTCAGAGCCCCAGTTGTAGATTTAAAATGAAATTCATCTTTTTGCTTGGGTTTATGATTCTGCAGCCAGAAAACAGAACATCCAATATGTTAGTTTCAGGGAGGATTTGCTCACCTGCTTATTGCCAATCTCTAAAGTTGGAAGCAGACTAGTTGGTTTTAGATTGGCGGTTCTAATCAGTTTGATAATTTGAGGATAAAGTGTAAAAATAATAATTTGAAAATTTTGAGTTGCTTAGAAGAAAATATATTGATAATAATATGTAATATTTTTCTTCATGAAAGCTGTTTAGTAAAGATTTGTGTATTGTATGGGATGCTTTTTTATATAGTAAGACCTGTAATTTATGTTTACCAAATAATTTTTAATTTTTTTTTTTTAAATATTAAAGTATAGTAAGAGCCACTAGAGTTTTTGTTTGTTTGTTTCTTGGGGTGCTGGGGAGTGCTTGTTTGTGTTTCTCTCTCCTGATGCTGATTACTCTTTCAAGCATTGAGTGTTCTGTATGTCTAATGTATTTGGTTGTTAAACATTTGTATGAAATAAAGTATTGGCTGTTCAATTACTCTAAATACCTAGATTTGTTGTTTTACCAGATGGCCTTTGTCACACTTACATTAGGTTTTTGTTTTTGTTTTTCGAGACAGAGTTTCTCTGTGTAACAGTCCTGGAATTCACTCTGTAGATCAGGCTGTAGACCAGGCTGGCCTCACAGAGATCTACCTGCCTCTGTCTCCCAAGTGCTGTGATTAAAGGTGTGCGGCACCACTGCCTGGCTTTACATAGTTTTAAATTGGAAAATATTGAGGATTTATGAGTTAAGTAGTATAATTTAGATTTTGATTCTTGTTTTACTGAAAGCTATGCAACTATTAAACAAGAAAATATATGAGATGATTCCCTCATAGTTATTTTTCTATGTGCCTACTATAATTAGTGCAAAGATAGAAATTTTATATTTTGTTTTTTTTTCTGTTTAGAATTATTTGAAGAGAATAATGTTTTATTTCTCTAAGCCAGCTCTATTAGGTTTGACAAGTTTGGATACAGACACAGACTTTTGTCAAAAGTATTATAATGAACTATGACAAAAAAAAAATTAGATAATTTAATCCGGGCGGTGGTGGCGCACGCCTTTAGTCCCAGCACTCGGGAGGCAGAGCCAGGCGGATCTCTGTGAGTTCAGGCCATCCAGGTCTACAAAGTGAGTTCCAGGAAAGGCGCAAAGCTACACAGAGAAACCCTGTCTTGAAAACAAAAACAAAAACAAAACAAAACAAAAATTTAGATAATTTTTTGGTTTGGGGGTTTTTGTCCATTTTACTTTGTCAGGAGTGAGTTGCATGTAACACTGCTTGTGGAAGTTGATTCTCTCCTTTCACTGTTGGTCCTAAGGATTGAACATGGGTTGTCAAGCTTAGCATCAAGGCCTTTACCTGCTGAGCCATCTTAATGACCTAGGCAATATTTTCTCTGCTTTAGTTTGGCATCATTCTTTCATTTATAGGTAACACTTCTGTCATCACAGTCTTGTCTGTAGATTTTCAGTAACTCACTTAGCTTCTGAGGCACATTCTAACCATAGACTTCCTCCTTCAGGTACCAAAGTGACATTTTCACACTGAAGTGTAAAGTGGTGTTTGTTGTGATGGTTGTGGTGCTAGGAATTGAATCAGGGCTTCCTGCCTGCTGAGCAGACAGTGTATGACTGAGCTCCATCCCCATCCCTACAGTGTTGTTTTGGTCAATAGTTTCTGAAGCTTACTAGCTGTTAAGCCATAGCTGTATATTTTGAGGTAGTGGTTATCCAAGGAAAACATTTCAAACTTTAACTATGTTGTAGTTTGTGTTCTTAAAGACCGAATGTAAAAGGCAGTCGAGATGGTAAAGATGTTTACTGCCAAACTCAATGAGCTGGGCTCTATCCTCAGATCCCACATGGTGGAAGGAGAAAACTGACTAGCATGTCATGGCATGCATGGGCCCACATACATACCTATAAACACACTCGTTCAAAATAAAAACATTAAATGTAATAAAAATTAAAATGTGAAAACATGTTTTGGTCACTAAGAAGAATACACAAAGGTTTTATTTACTATTACATGAACAATCAGAGTTTAGTTGAAAGGAATAATATTAATAAATTGTGGGTAAATTTTCAAAATCAATATATAGTTTTGTTATTTTTATAGAAACATCTAAAGCCTATATTCAGAAATGTTTCAGATTCTGCAGTGATAGTAGCTCATTTTAACAGTTAACTGAATGACTAATAAATATATCGTTAATTCTTACTTTTGTCTATTTGCAGCTTATAAAACACTACACAGCAAAATAATGATCTGCTAGACTGCTAACCTGAGCATCAGCTTCCACAATGCCTGTGCAGGCAGCTCAATGGACAGAGTTTCTGTCCTGTCCAATCTGCTATAATGAATTTGATGAAAATGTGCACAAGCCCATCAGTTTAGGTTGTTCACACACAGTTTGCAAGACCTGCTTGAATAAACTTCACCGAAAAGCATGTCCTTTTGACCAGACTGCCATAAACACAGACATTGATGTGCTCCCTGTCAACTTTGCACTTCTTCAGTTAGTTGGAGCCCAGGTAAGTGTCCAGTATTTTTACTGATTTAGTCTATCAGTTGTCAAAATTAGTTCATCAGCCAGTACAGCATATGTTGAATGATATTTAAAACCTAAAAGGTATTTACTTTGTGTGAGGTGTTCCTAAAACAATTTTTCTTAATGTTATAAATTCTTACGCAAAATAATGAATCCCATTAAAGTTATATATTTCTTTATTTTCTCAACAGCAGGGCCAGAATTTAGGTATATAAGTAAGTGCTTTGGTGGTTGAGAAACAGTTTGTATATGAATATATCAGTATTTATTCATTAAGTCGTTAAAAATATAATCAAAGGTTTAAATAGAAACAAATCAACTAAAGCCCTCAGGTAGAGACTTTGTTAATGTTATTTATGATTTCAATTGGCTTAGGATATTACCATCAATTGAATATGTAAATGAGAAAATAAATTGTATCAGTAACAAATTCTGCACAGCATCATACTCCCCTATATATAATGCAGTGATTATTTCCTATATAATTTCACTGAATCGTATCAAGAACCTAGATTTGATAAACAACTTTTATTTGATTAGGGTTTTTTCTCTGGTACATATGAAAATAAATATTCTGAATGTTATTTCTGATTCTTACCTTAGCTCTTTAGGTACCTATTACTCTTACTTACAGATGAGAAGATGAAATTCTATATATGCATGACACAGTACATATTAAGCAAGAAAATAGTGGCATGTCTGGAAACTCAGTGCTCTAGGAAGGAAGATAGAGTTCTGTGCCAGCTGGCCAAACAGGGAAACTCTGTCTCTAAAAAGTCAAGTGAAACAACATCTATAAAAACAACAAACCCAAAACTAACTAAAGCAAGATGTTTACAATTTTATGAAGCTTCCTGGCTTATTCAGGAAATTTAATAATTCACTATATTCATTTCTCTAATCTCTTGATAGGTGAAGGTGTCCTTTTAATGCTCAAAACCTATTTTCACTGTTTTAAAATCAAACTAGACAGTGATTCCATAATCAATAGTGTCATGGTTTAATTGGCAACATGTTTTTTCTTATGTATCATAGAATAATGCTGTCTCTTGCCAACAGTGACACTTTAAGATTCAATAAAATACTTGCTTTTTTCAATAATTCTATATACTGTCTGTCTGCTATAGCATGGGTAGTCTTAATATCCCTTCTGAGTAAATGTGTTATTATAGTGCTTAAAATAGTTTATGGATCTGTGCATTGTGACACAAATCTTTTCAGGTTATTCTCTTCCCTATCTCTACTTATATTGGTCTCCTAACCAGTTCTCAGATATGCTATGTATATTAATTCATAGGGATTTTAAAAATGTCTTTGCCTGCAATGATTCCTCCCTCTCTACTTTGAAGTAGTTACAGATGTTGCAGTTCTCCAGGAAGTTTATCCTGACTGTATCAGTAAATTGCAGCCCTTCTCCAGTTCTTTCTTTTTTAAAATTTATTTTTATTATTTTTGATTGTGTAAGTGTGTCTATATATGTATGTCACAACCCCAAATACTTATCTTTATTTGTGTGTGCGTGTTTGCGTGAATGTCATCTGCACAAAAGGGCTCCCAAGAGGGTGTTAGGTCCCTGAAGGTGGGATTAGAGGCTGTTGTGAATTGCTCAACATGGGTGCTAGGAACTGAACCAAGGGCTCTTAACCACCGAGCCATCTCTCTAGCCCTTGCCATATTTCTTGTTCCACTTATATTTGCGGTGTAGTTTCATTGATCACCTTCTAACATAGTATTTATTTATTTATATGTTTGTTTATTTATTACTTGTCTCTTTATTTTGTTTAAACTCTTTGAGGCAGGACATTTTCTCTTTTGACTATTGATAGATCCATAGTGTAGACATATGAGAAATATTCTATAAATGTCAGTATTGGACTGAACATTATGAAACATATATAGTCATCATTTCGCAGACATGGAAATTGTTTTTTTGTTTTTTGAGACAGGGTTTCTCTGTGTAGCTTTGCGCCTTTCCTGGAACTCACTCTGTAGCCCAGGCTGGCCTCAAACTCACAGAGATCCACCTACCTCTGCTTCCCAAGTGCTGGGATTAAAGGCGCGTGCGCCGCCGCCGCCGCCGCCGCCGCCGCCGCCGCCGCCACCACCACCACCCAGCCAGATATGGAAATTGATATGAACCAATTAAATGGTTTTCTCAGGATCACACATAGGAGTAGCAGAGCCTAAAGTTTACCCACTTTTTTTTTTTCTTTTTTTCCTTTTGTGCTGGGGATTAAACAAAGGGCCTCACATGTGATAGTTGGGAATTCTCATCATTGAGTTACATCTCTGGTACTTACATTCTGTCAAGGAGGTATAGGTCATAAATTATAAATTTAATAGGTAACTCATGTAGAAGTCAGTACTAAATTATATGGGGTGAAGGCAGAATCTCTGACTCTCTTAATTTTGTTTGGAAGATTAACATTGATAAAATGCTATTAACTTTCCAACTTCATTTTAAGTTCACTTAAATGGCTTTGATTTTTGTATCTTTGTATAACAATTTTATATTCACTAAGATTATTAGATATATAAAGAAAAGTTGCATGAACTGAATGAATACATCTCTGTAATATTTTACTTTTTAGGTACCAGATCATCAGTCAATAAAATTAAGTAATCTAGGTGAGAATAAACACTATGAAGTGGCAAAAAAATGTGTTGAAGATTTGGCACTCTACTTAAAACCACTAAGTGGAGGTAAAGGTAAGTTCATAAGATGCATTCTTATTAGTGTGTAAGACTTGGTCAAGTGTTAAGCATTGAGCTCTTAACATTGACTAGAGTCACTGTTTGTCATGGAATCCACAGTCTATTGGATGGGTATATAAGTATAATAAATTTTTTTAATTGCTTTGACAAAAGCAGAATTGTAGTTTATTGTTGCTATTTCTTACAAATATAAAAATTATTGAATGAATCAAATATTTTGTGCCTGTTAATTAAGAGTGGACTTAGGATACTTGAGATACTTTGGTAAACAGGAAAACACAACCTGAACCTAAATGTAGTACTTGATTTCAGTAAAAGGAAAAAGTATAATAAACAGTATGGTGAATTAGGTTATATATTGTTAATGGTAATTGGTATAAAAAGAAAATACAGAGAGGTTAAAATGTCGCGGTGAGAAGATAAAGACAGATTACAGATTTTAAGAATATCTAGTGAGGTCCTTGTTTAGAATGTGGCTCTTGAAATTGAATTGAGGTAAAAGAGATGAGATAGGTACTGAAGTAGATCCTGGAAAAGTATTTTCTAGGCAGCGGGAACAACCATCCATTGTATTGTCCTTGTGGGAAGGAGAGAGTGTACTTGGAGTGATGTGAGTGAGGAGAGTATTACAAGAAAAGTTAGGATGGAATATAGTGAGGCAAGGTGATATGCCAACTTTCAGACCATTTACAGACTTGAGCTTTTGCTCTGAGTAAAGTTGGGGGTGGTTTTGAACAGAGTAGTGACATAATTGGACTAACATTAAAGGATCACTTTGACTGTTCTCTTGAGACTGTATGGAAGGACAAAGGGAATAGTGAAAAGTTAAGTGGTTGAGGCACAGTTAGCAAAAGTGGAGCTTGGTACCTAGTTTGGATGCATTTGGAGGTAAGACAAAAAATATTTCCTGGATTTGGAGTTGGAGAGGCAGAGTTGAAGAGGCAAGTGTAACTACTGAAGATTTTGCTTGAGTACCTGTAAAGAGAGTTGCTACAGCTTTTGGAATAGTGGAGGTAGATGAAGTTTGGTTAAGAAGCTCAAGTTCAGTTTTGGTTATATTAAGTTTTAGATGTCTAAGATTCATCTAATAGCTGATATTGCTATTAGATATTGATATTGAGTAGCTGATACTGAGTAACCAGTGGATATATGAGTTTTGAATTAAGATGAAGTGCATGGTCTATAGCTTTGGGGATTATTATAATATGAATGTTTTGGAGAGCCTGAAATGACTGGAAGAGATCATCTGTGTAATGAGTTTATAAGATAGTCTCTTTAATGTTGGTAGGTCAGGGTAGGGGGCTAAAAACTGCTATCAAAGGATATTATAAGGGAGAAAACTAAGAAAATGGAATGTTCTGGAAATGAAAATAAAGTGCTTAAAAGACTAAAGTCATCCATATTGAATGTTACTGAAAAGTCAGATGTAATAAGGGTTGAGGATTAACTGGATTTAGCAAAGTAGATGTAATTGTCTTGATGAACAGTTTGGTGTAAGAGATAGTGTGGCAAAATCTTGAATTGGAATAGGTTTTCCAGATTTGTGAAGAAAGATGTTGGAAACAGTGTATAATAGAAAATGCACAAGATAGCCGGGCAGAAGGCAGGAGAATCACAAATTTGAGGGCAGCTTGGGCTACATAGCATGTTTAAGGCCAGCTTAGGCTATATCTTAAAAGTGTCTCCCAAAGTAGGAGCAGTGAGGGAGAAAGGCAGATAATAGAAGATTTATTACACAAGGAAATAAAGAAATATGACAACTAGTAAAGAAAGATCACTTAAAAAAAAAATCTGTTTACAGCCGGGCGGTGATGGCGCATGCCTTTAATCCCAACACTCGGGAGGCAGAGTCAGGTGGATTTCTGAGTTCAAGGCCAGCCTGATCTACAGAACAAGTTCCAGAATAGCCAGGGCTACACAGAGAAACCCTGTCTCAAAAAGAAAACAAATACATTTTTAAGATGAATGTATTTTGCTGATGGAAATGATCAAACAGAGGGGGAAAAATGTATGATACAGAAGAGGGGAGGATTTCTTTTTTTTTTTTTTTTAAATTTATTACACATACGGTGTTCTGTCTACATGCCAGAAGAGGGCACCAGATCTCATTATAGATGGTTGTGAGCCACCATGTGGTTGCTGGGGATTAAACTTGGGACCTCTGGAAGAACAGCCAGTGCTCTTAACCTCTGAGCCACCTCTCCTACCTGAGGGGAGGATTTCTGAGTGGTGCCCTGAGCAGGTTCAAAGGAAGGGATTAAGAACTACATTTAAGCAGTGTTAAACATTTCTTGTGTGCAATGTTTTTTTAAAATAGCTATTATTAATTGTTACTTTTAAGGTTAAAATTTATATTCATTTGTCTGTAAATTTATCTCCAGATACTTTATTGAAGGTGGAGAGTAAAGTAAATCCCAGTAGAGTCTTTAGACAGATCCAGCCTATAGAACAAGACACCTAAGTAAAATCTGAAGTATTTAAGAACTAGGCTCTTTATTATTATAGAATGGTAATAAACAGGGACACAATATTCAGTTAGAAAATCAAATCATCTAACAGACTCATAAAGAACTATTATTTAATAATTAAATACAGATAATGTAAATTGTCTTTTTTTATTTGAAAAATGTTGAGTTTCTTTTGTCTCCATTTGTTAAAGGTGTAGCTAGTTTGAACCAAAGTGCCCTGAGCCGTCCAATGCAAAGGAAACTAGTTACACTTGTAAACTGTCAACTGGTGGAGGAAGAAGGTCGTGTCAGAGCTATGCGAGCAGCCCGTTCCCTAGGAGAAAGAACTGTAACAGAACTGATCCTGCAGCACCAGAATCCTCAGCAGCTCTCCGCCAACCTGTGGGCTGCTGTCAGGGCTCGAGGATGCCAGTTTCTAGGGCCAGGTAAAATAGATCACCATCTTAGTGTTTTTACTGGTCATCAGATCTTGAGGATGCCAATTTTTTAGGGCCAAGTAAAAAATCCTGCATATACTGACATTGTAAACTATAAATCAGTCTATTCTTTTTGTTGTTGTTGTTGTTTGTTTTTCGAGACGGGTTCTCTGTGTAGTTTTGGTGCCTGTCCTGGATCTTGTTCTGTAGACAAGGTTGGCCTGGAACTCACAGAGATTTGCCTGGCTCTAACTCCCTCGTGCTGGGATTAAAGGTATGCGCCACCGCTGCCTGGTAAATCAGTCTATTCTTACAGCCAGTGCTTTGGAAGAAATTTCTCATTTATTTCTTAGGCATCAGTGAGATAGAGGGCTCATATGCAATTTGCAAATTAGAAAACTGATTTAGGAAAGGGCCTGCTACTGCACAGGTGTACATCAGGGAAGGTAAAGTTTTTTTGGGGGGTGGCAGCATGATATAAATAATAAACTTTTGATTGTTTGTTAACACTTGGAAAACATAAGAAATATTGAAACCAGCAATAAGTTTCTTTATGATATGTGGAATGAATGTCCTGTTTAAAACAATCTCTATACCAAGTTATAAAGTACTTATATGTTAATTGGGAGATTTTTTTTTTAATTTAGAACTGTAATTTGAATAAAATTTATATAGGAAACATTTTGTTTCATTGATTTGGGGTTTTTAAAATAGTCTCATGTTTAGCTAAGGCTGACCTAGAATACTTTGTGTGTAGTGCAGGCTGGCCTCCCAACTCTGTAGTTCTTTTGCCTCAGCTGGAATTACAGGCATTCACTACCACACCCAGCTAGGAAACATTTTTTCTTTAAAGATTTACTTAATTGTGTGTGTGTGTGTGTGTGTGTGTGTGTGTGTGTGTGTGTGTGTGTGTGTGTGTATAGGGTCCCACTATGTAGCTCTTGCTATCCTGGAACTCATTATGTAGACCAGACTGGCCTTGAACTCGAAGTGATTCACCTGCCTCTGCCTCCCAAGTGCTGGATTTAAAGGCATGCAAAAAACATGCAATTTTTTTTGTTGTTGTTGTTCCTGTGAGTGTATGTCACATGTATTCAGCAAGGAGTACAGAAGAGGGTGTCAGATACCCTGGAATGGAGTTAGAGGCAGTGTGAGCTGACTGACAAGGGTACTTGAACTTGAACTCAGGACTTCTGGAAAAGTAGTGCTCTTAGCCACTGAGCCATCTCTTTAGCTCTTAGAAAACTTCTTGTTTTGTTTTGATTTTGTTCTTTTTTTTTTTTTTTTGGAGACAAGATATTAGGAAACATTTTTAATGAGAGACATTGGGACAGCTAGACTGAAATGTAGCAAAAGAATTGGGTGCTTCTTAAATATCTTTGGAAACTTAACCAATTATAAGCAAATGTTTTTGAGACAATGGGAAAAATTAAATGTGGACTGGATATTCGATTAAGGAGATACATTACTTTTGTTGGATGTGGTCTTATGTAAAAATTTTAAAAACCGTCACATAAAATAATATTTTGTCTGGGACTTAGACCAAAACACAAGGTAAAATAAACTAGAAAAGTAAAAAAAGTAGATAAACCTTTCTGAAAGCAGCTATGTTGATAGTTAAATGTTATGCTTTAAATTTTGCACAAATCAGAGTTAAATTTAAAATTTTCCAAAAATCATTCTTTATGAACTTAATTTACGGATGATACCTTTGAATATTTATTCATGTTTATTTTTTATCTGTAGAAGCACTAGATACCTGATATTACTTATTGTAACTCAAAAAGACAAAAACCTGATTCAAAAGTAGATCAGAGACTTAGCAACCAAATAAGAGACTGGTAGAGAACAAATTTAGGTAGGACACTGGAAGTCTTTAATTAGTATTGAATGCAGATCAAACCTAGCAAGGGGCTGTGGTAATGCTTACCCAGCTTGTGTTAGGCCCTGACTGGGTTTGCTCCCCAGAGCATGTGCACGCACATGCAATAATAAACCACAGTGAGATACTACTTCATACATGTTTAGTTTGCTGTGATTAAAAAGAAAACCACCTGATACGTTGATAAGAATGTGGACATAGAAAAATGGTGCTCTCCTGTATGGAACAAACCTTGGCAGTCCCTCTAAAGCTAAACATGACCCAGGAGTTCAGTGGTCCTTCCAAAATAATAGAAATCAGATACTCAAACTGATACTTGGACACAAATGTTTATAGCAGTAATATTTACAATGATTAGAAGGTAGGCAGGCACAATTTGGCAATGGTAGAAACACACGGGGGTGGGACGTAGAGGGGAAGGTAGGCACAAACTGGTCGTAATCATGTGTACCTATTATCTTGGCACTTGGGGAGGATCAAATAGGAAGATGAGTTGGAGGCCAACCTGGGTTACATAACAAGCCTCTGTCTCAGAGAACCTCAGTGGTGATTTCACAACTATGCCACCATGCTTGGCCTATAGTGTTCTTTTATCTGGAACCATTTCCTGAATTGTCTTGATGATAGAGATAGTCTTGAATATAGACCATTTATTTTAAAGCATAAAAAAAGTGGAAGCATTCTATATGTCAGCCACCTAATAAAGGCATAATCAAAACATAATGTGTTCATAAAGTGCTATCTAACCATAACCAAGAAATGAAGTGATACTTGCTGCTTATAGTGTTTGAAAATACTGTGATTCTTGAGGGAAACCCAGATAGGAAATGAGTGATTGCTAAGGAGAAAAGGTTACCAGAAATGACTGCTTGATGACTATGAGTTTTCCTTTGGAGCAGTAGAAATGTCTTTGAACTAGGTACAGTTAATGGTTGTATAATCTTGTGAATGTACTAAATGCTACTGGATATTGCAAACCATCTTTTTTAAATTTTTATTTATTTATTTTCTACAGTGCTGGGATGGAATTAAGGGCCTTGGCATATACTAGGCAAGAAGGAACTCTATTTTATATTCCTAGGCCTGTTTTTTTAACTGGTTAATTTTATGAGAATTCTATCTAAAATTTTTGTAAAGTCCTCAAGTAACTCTAATTTTGATAATACCCTCACTTTGGAAAAGGGATTGGATTGACTCTAGACTCTTGATGATATCTCAGTTTTAAATTTCCATTGTTTTGTTAGATAACAATATATTTTTAATTTCTTAGTTTGAAATAACTTTAAATTCACTGAAAACATGCAAAAATAATACAGAAAATTACCTGTATATTCCTTAAGCATATTCATCAGTTTTAATATTCTTCCATATTTGGTAATTATTTTTTATTTTCTTTTTTGAAATATTTTAAAGTAGGTTGCATATTTTATTCTCCTTCCTTTACTCAATACTTTAGTGTGTTTCATAAAAGCAAGGGTACTGCTCTTTGGAAAGAGTGTATTCATCAAATTAAAACAATTGTCATCAAGCCGTGTGGTAGTGGCGGCGGCGGGGGCAGCGGAGGTGGCTCATGCCTTTATCCCAGCACTTGGGAGACAGGCAGGTGGATCTCTGTGGGTTTGAGGCCAGCATGGTCTACAGAGTGAGTTCTCGGACAGCCGAGAATAGCTAAGGCTACACAGAGAAACCCTGTCTCAAAAAGAAAAAAAAAATTAAGATGGTGTAGTACTACAGTCTGTTCATATTTATTGGTGTCTATTTTTCTCAAAATACATTTTCTGACATTGTTTTCTTCTGGTGTAAGACCAGCTCACAATCAGTGTTATCATGTCTCTTTTTAGTTGTTTATTTATATTCAGGGTTCCACTATGCAGAAGCCCAGGCAAACCTAGAACTCAAGAGCTTCTTGCCTTAGCCTTCCAAGTATTACGGACCTGTAATACCATGCCCAGCTGTCAGCATTCTTTTATCTTGAACCATTATCAGTCTTTCTTGGCACTGATATTCTAGAAGAATACAGAACATTTATTTTATAGAACATTTGTCATTTTAGATTTACCTGGTAGTCCCTCGTGATTTGATTGAGAATATTCTGTATTTCCCTAAATATAAAACAACGTAAGTAGCCAGACAGTCCTCGTATATGCCTTTAATACCAGCACTTGGGAGGCAGAGGCAGGTGGATCTCTGAATTTGAGGCCAGCCTGGTCTACACAGGACAACCTGTCTTCCAGGATAGCTAGGGCTATACAGAAACCCTGTCTTGAAAAACCAATAAATAATAAATAAGTTGACATAAGTGAAGTTAATGGCTTCTTTAGGTATTCTACCCAAAGGCTAATATTATTTAAAATTATAGATAAATAATTTCTGACAGGCACATTAACTGTTTTGTGACATAAGCCAAATATGTATGTCCTTTGCAAATTATCATTGCCAAAGTAGTTCTTTGTTTTATGAATTGCATTCCCTTTAACATCATTATCTACTTTCTGTTGTATACCTATAGAAGATATTTTATTAAAAGTTCTGTTCACTGGGTTGGAAGCATGACTCAATGATTAAGAGCAGTTACTGCTACTATAGTTTGATTCTCAGTATCTGTAGCAGGTGACTCATTTGTAATTCAGTCCCTAAGGGATAAGACCCCTCTAGCCTAAAAAGGCACCTGCACAGATGCATAGACTCACACTCATACATACACAATTAAAAATAATAAGAAGAAATAAAGTCCTGTTCACATCTGTGTTCTGATTGGTCATTTAGTGCAAAGTATGTTTTCTTTTGCTTGGTAACTTTTAAAATTCTTGTTTATGGGGCTATAGAAATGACTTATTGATTAAGATCAGTCTTTGCTCTTGCAGAGGACCTAGGTTCAATTCCTGGTACCCACATAGTGACTTAATATCTATACACTTCCGTTCCAGGGATCCTATACTCTCTTCTAATCTCCATGGCACCAGGCACACACATGGTGCATGTACATACATGTAGAGAAAACTTTCATGCACATAAATCTAATTTTTTTTAAAAAAATATTGCAAGGTGGGCATAATGCTGCATGCTTTTAATCTGAGCACTCAGGAGGCAGAGGCAGTTGGATCTCTTGAGTTCAAGGCTGGCCTGCTCTATGTAGAGAGTTCTAGGATAGCCAAGGCTACAAAGAGAAACCCTGTCTTGAAAAACCAAAAGTAAAAAAATTAATATTGTATGTATGTGTATGTTGGATTTGTTTAACTGCAGGTGTATCTTGACACACGTGGAGATTGGGGAACGATTTTGTGGATTCTTTTCTCTTCTTCCACCTTTACCTGGGCTCTGGGGATGAAATTCAGATTGCTAGCCTTGATCAGCAAAAGCATCTTTACCTCATGAGTCACTTTGCTGGCCCTTGATCAATTTAAAAATGAATTGTTTTTGTGTATGTGTGATTTCCTTTTTTCATGCTAATTAGATGCATGTTGTTTATAGTGTACCTCCATAAGTTGATACTCAAATATACTTTGACAGAAATCATCAGTATAATCTTTGATCCTTTACTGTTTCTAGCTATGCAAGAAGAAGCCTTGAAGTTGGTATTGCTGGCATTAGAAGATGGTTCTGCCCTCTCAAGGAAAGTTCTTGTACTTTTTGTTGTGCAAAGACTAGAACCAAGATTTCCTCAGGCATCAAAAACAAGTATTGGTCACGTTGTGCAGCTACTGTATCGAGCTTCTTGTTTTAAGGTAAGTGCTGTACAACTCTCTGAAGATTGCATGCTTACATATGAGACAGGGCTTCCTAGAATCCATGTTACCTAGTGTAGTGACCCCAGACATACAGAACACTTCGAAATTTGAGAATAATTGTTTCTCTCATTTTTCCTTCTGCATTAATTTTTGAGACCAGGTACTTGTTACCACCTATTGGTTTCAGAAACAATGAACTGAACATATGTGAAACCCTAACTTTAGATTCTTACAGGAACTTGTAAAAGTGAACTAAAGAAGCCTCACCTTGCTGGGTGGTGGTGGTGGTGGTGGCAGCGGCGGCGGCAGTGCACGCCTTTAATCCCAGAACTCTGGAGGCAGAGCCAGGCGGATCTCTCTGAGTTCAAGGCCAGCCTGGTCTACAGTGATCTCCAGGAGAGGCTCCAGAACTACACCGAGAAACCCTGTCTTGAAAAACCAGAAAAAAAAATAAAGAAGAAGATGCCTTACTTTTTATTTCTTTTCTTTTTTTTCCTATCATCATCTTGGTACAGTACAAATTCTTATCCTAATAGTGAAATGTTTCACTGATGCTTGCCCAGTGATTGAGTAAAACTAAAACTTAGTATAAGCCACAGTCATCCTAGGGTCCCCTCTGCTATGTAGCCTCCCTGGATCTGTGGGTTGCAGTCTGATTGTTCTTTGCTTTATATGTAGTATCCACTTATGAGTGAGTAAATACCATGTTTGTCCCTCTGGGTCTGGGTTACCTCACTCAGGATGCTATTTTCTAGTTCCATCCATTTGCCTGCGAATTTCATGCTGTCATTGTTTTTCTCTCCATCGTGTATATGTACTACATTTTATTTATCCATTCTGTAGTTGACAGGCATCTAGGTTGTTTGCAGGTTCTGGCTGTTATGAATAATGCTGCTATGAACATAGTTGAGCATGTATCTTTGTGGTATGATTGAGCATCCCTTGGGTATATTCTCAAGAGAGGTATGGCTGGGTCTTACGGTAGATCAATTTCCAATTTTCTGAGAAACCACCATACTGATTTCCACAGTGGTTGTACAAGTTTGTACTCCCACCAACAGTGGAGGAGTGTTCCCTTTGCTCCGAATCCTCTCCAACATAGACTGTCATTAGTGTTTTTGATCTTAGCAATTCTGACAGGTGTAAGGTGGTATCTCAGAGTCGTTTTGATTTGCATTTCTCTGATGACTAAGGATGTTGAGCATTTCCTTAAATGTCTTTCAGCCATTTGAGATTCTTTTTTTGAGAATTCTCTGTTTAGTACTGTAGCCCTTTTTTAAATTGGATTGTTTAGTATTTTGATGTCTAGTTTCTTGAATTCTTTATATACTTTGGAGATCAGTCCTCTGTCAGATGTGGGGTTGGTGAAGGTCTTTCCCCATTCTGTAGGCTGTCTTTTTGTCTTATTGACCATGTCTTTTGCCCTACAAAAGCGAAGAAGCCTCACTTCTTTATATCAGTTATTTTAAACAAGGAGTCCCACTGGCCTTTAATCCTAGAACTTGGGCGGCAGAAGTAGGCAGATCTCTGGGTTTGAGGCCAGCCCAATCTATAGAGTGAGTTCCAGGATAACCAGGGATACACTGAGAACTCTGTCTTGATAAAACAAAACAAAACACCAAGGAGTCCCAAATTATGTGGTAGACTTCAAAAGAATAGGAAATATTTGTAATCCATTGGGGTTTTTTTTGTTTTTGTTTTGTTTTTAATCTTTTGTGTAGTGATAAAAGTCTTTAATGTGAAAATAGTCCACAAGAAATTCAAGGTTAGCCAGATATGACGGCACACACCTTTAATCCCATAACTTGGGAGGTAGAGGCAGGTGGATCTTTGTGAGTGGAGGCCAGCCTGGTCTACAGAGCAAGTTCCAGGACTGTTACACAGAGAAACCCTGTCTCGAAAAACCAAAAAGAAAAGAGAGAAAAGAAATAAACTGATGATCTGTGTTTGTGATCATGATTACAATAATCTTAATCCTGAGGAAAGATCATACACCTACAAAAATCTGGTTACTAAGCTGACAAATCTGATTAAAAGGCATTGGACAGTGATTAGTTTTTCAAAAGTAAATGTCACTTAAGTGAGACCTTTTGGCATTTAAGTCTGCATATCTTTAGCATTTTAAATTACAGGGCTGTAAGGTTGAAATGAGAAAATTGAAATATATCCTAAGTTAGTGTGATGTAAATGCCAGATAACACTGGAAACTATGAATATGTAACAATCATAAACCATGGAGCAGTTTGATATCTGTAGGAAAAAAGAATTGGATACTTCAGTGAACACTGTGGGAAAGCCTAGTCAGTCAAGTGTGAATGACAGATAACCTCCTTTAAGGATATGAAATCAAGCACTACGACTATGAGAGAGTGTCCCAACCTCATTAGCAAAGGTAAATGAACCCATCTGAACATACTTCCATCATCAGTCACCTATTTTCTAAACTGGAGTACTTCCAAGGAAACCTTTTTCAATCTTAGAGCCTTAAAATGAGCAAAGAAACCTAGATGCATGTGATTTACTTTCACAAAAGCCAAGAGGTCTATTTACAAATCTCTACATTTTTCAGGTGCTACCTAACAACCTACACTTTGATAACAGAAAACAAGGATGCAGGTAGCTTTACTAATCTTTCAGTGGCCCAAAGTAGTCTTCACATTCCATCAAACAAAATAACAAACAGCTTGGCAATCTTCCTGAATTTCTTTTGAAGGGGTGGGCAGTTTTTGAGGCAAGATTTCTCAGTGTAGCCCTAGCTGTCCTGGAACTCACTCTGTAGACCAGGCTAACCTCGAAGTCACAAAGTCACAAAGATCCACCTGCCTCTGCCTCCCAAGTGCTGGGATTAAAAGTGTGTGCCACCACTGTCCAACCTAAGTAATTTCTAATAAAGATTGAAATTCATGGCAAATGAGATGACTCTGGGTAAAGGTACTGGCTCTTGAATCAGATGACAAATTTAATCCCTGGTGGAAGGAGAGAACTGACTCCTGAAACTTGTCCTCTCGTGACACATGCATTTCCACATATATACACACCAAATAAATAATGTTCACACCATATAAATAATGTTATATTGGTACATATTTTCCTGTAGAGATCCTTTATTTACCAAGCATGGAATCAGAACAAGGGGAATTAATGATTGTCATGCTTAGTGTAGTGGTTCCCAACTGAAAGTTCAGCACCGGAGTTGTCTGTGTGTATGTTCCTGGGCTCTACCATCAAGAATTCTCATTCAGTAGATTTGAGAATATGTCTTTCAGAGCTTCACAAATTTTTTTTTGTGTGTGTGTTTTCTAAAAGATAGGTTCTCCTGTAACGTAGGCTGACCTGTTTTGTAGCTGAGGATGACTTTAAACTGCTGAGATTATGGGAGTGCATCACTTTAATGCCTAGTTTTTAATGTGGTAGTGAGACTCAAACCCCAACTTTGTGCATGCTAGGCAAGCACTCTGTCAACTGGGATACATCTCCAGCAGCCCTTCACAAATGATTTTGATGCATATTAATATTGATTGGATCAGCCCCTGCTAGTTACCCAAGTCTGTCTTCAAATTCTTGGGTGCTCTTGTTACCCATGGGCATGTGTGCACTATATGGTGCTTAGAGGTATGTTATAATCCTCTAGATCTTTAGTCCCCCTACCCCCCATTTAAGTTCCTTTTGTTTCTCTGATGTTCCTTTAAAGTGGGTTATTGAAGAATACTGGCTTTCAAGTTACATCCACACCCCACTCATTATTACATGTTTTAAGAGTCTATTGATTGGGGCTGGAGTGACTAATGGCTCAATGACAGGAATACTTGTTCCTTTTGAAGAAGACCTGGATTTAGTTTTCAGCATCCACATGATGGTTCCAGGCAATCTGACACCCTTTTCTGGTCTCCGTGGGCATAAAGCACACCTGTGATGTACATATATACATGCAGGTGAATACTCATACACATAAAATAAATAAAAGAGTGTCTTAGTCTTAAGTATTTTTAAATTCCCAAAGAATATATGACCTATTGATTCTGAGGTGATAGCCGATTTCCTCATGTTTATGTTTTGAGGGACTGTCAGATATATCAGCAGCAGAAATAAAAATAGTTACTAAGGCAAGGCATAGTGGTCCACACTTGTAATCCTAGTACTTGAGAGGTTTGGACAAGGGGATTTCTGCAATTTTGAGGCTAGGCTAGGGTGCAGAGGCAGACCTTCTCAATACACTCAATCACTGAGGTAATCTGGAGCTTTTTTCTTTCACCAGTGAGGAATACAAAGTTGTGTTTATATTGCAAGCCAAACTTGTGCTCGTGATTCTTCTATTTGAGCTTCTTGAATGCTGGTATTTTAAGCATGCATCCTTATGCTCAGCAGGAAAAGTTGAATTTTGAATAGATCAAATGGTTTGTCCTGTCTGAATCTCAGAATTTGGTGTGGTTTTATGTGCTTTGAATCTTAAATCCCAGAGCCTATACAGTGAGATGGATAGAAGGTGAAAGGAAAGAGCTCCTCAGAAGCTCATGACCTACGGAGACAAGATGGAAGATGAGTACTCACTCCCAAGGTTGTCCTCTGACCTGTACACACACACACACACACACACACACACACACACACACACACACACACACACACACACACACACACACCCACCCACACAGATTTTATGAAAATTCAAAAACAAAAACAAGTACTCATCCTACACAGCACTGTTCTTCGTACAAAGAAAATCTTAACCTTAGAAACAGGACTCTGCTTTCTGAAACTGCAATATCTCATTTCTTAACCACAGTAAATAAAAAGATGCAATGCACTCAGCCCTGTTCTCCCTCAAATAAGAAAGCAGGACTCTTTTTCACTAAAAGAGGAAAAAACAAAAACAAAAAAAAAATGATGTTTTTTTTTAAAGACATGTATCTGTTCGTAGCACTTCTGTAAAAATTCTTAGTGACTTTTTGTTCACTTCAGGATTTAATACCTTATTTACCATCGTATTTAAGGCCATCTTTGAGTCTTCACTGACCAATATAATAATTTTTAACAAAATAATAATAATTTTTACCTTTGTGTCCTCTGCTCATTCATTTTTCTATTTTACCTTTTTCTTTTTTAGAATTTGGTTTTCCCTCTTTTCCTAAAGAAATCTTATTTTTCATGACGTAGGTCATATAGTCTTCAGCCAAGAGAAAACCTTTTCTGAACAATTTTCTTCTGTTTTCTCATCATATTTAATTGCCTTTTGTTCGTGTTGCTATGGACCCTATAATAGGACCATTACTATAATTTTCTTTTTCTAAGTCTTTCTTCCCTGCCAAGTGCTGATGAACTTCTTGAAGACAAGGACTGAATACATAGTTACATAGTTTCTTTTTTTTTTTTCTGAAAAGAATTTGTGTTGACATTTTCTACTTTGTGTGGTGTCTGGTATATCTATCCTTTTACCCCAACCCTCACACCCAAAGTAAATGAATTGGGTAAGGGGAAAGAGCAGGATAATTCTAATGAGTTTGGTTTTTTTGTTTTTTGTTTTCCATTTTTAGGTTACTAAAAGGGATGAAGACTCTTCCCTGATGCAGCTAAAGGAGGAATTTCGGAGTTATGAGGCACTGCGCAGAGAACATGATGCCCAAATTGTTCACATTGCTATGGAAGCAGGACTCCGTATTTCACCTGAGCAGTGGTCCTCACTGCTATATGGGGACTTGGCTCATAAATCACACATGCAATCTATCATTGATAAGGTTTGTGAAATTAGAGGTACTGATCTTACACCCTTTCTATTTCACAGAGTACTATAGCACATACACTCCTCTGTTTATAACCCAATGTGCCCACCTGACCCAGACATTCATTTCACACGTCTAACCTAGTGAACGGGATAACTTAGCAGCATTGTACACTTTGGGCTTTGTGGAGTATTGGCTTTTACCCTCATGCTCACTTAGAGCTGTAGCTCAGTGCCATTTTACCACAATGTGAATACTGTACTTCATATCACTCATCTGGGAAAAATTAAATGTAAAATGTGGAACACTTTCTACTGAGTATGTTTTGCTTTTATAGCGTTGTAAGGTTGAAAACTTATCTATATTCTGGCCCTAGCGAGCTAGTATAACTGATAAATAGGTTTTCTAAGTGTCTAGTGATGAGTTTCATAGGGCAGATTCTGAGGTGAAAATTTAATTCATCATTGATCGTCCTATTATGAAATCTGAAGACACTTGAAAACTTATTAAGAAAATTAATCTATTGGAAATCATTTGAATATAGGTGTGTTCTAAAATCCAGAGTAAAAATCATTCTCTTTTCTATTTGTTAGCTACAGTCTCCGGAATCATTTGCAAAGAGTGTCCAGGAATTGACAATTGTTTTGCAACGAACAGGTGACCCAGCTAATTTAAATAGACTGAGGCCTCATTTAGAGCTTCTTGCAAACATAGACCCTAATCCAGGTATGTGGGAAAATGTACCAGTGCTTGTACTTTATGGAACTCTCATGTAAATAGCACAAGGGAATGACTGTTGATATGTTGTCTCCTCTATCCCCTACCCCATCCCTTTGGCTCTTAATTTAGATGCTGTTTCACCAACTTGGGAACAGCTGGAAAATGCAATGGTAGCTGTTAAAACAGTGGTTCATGGTCTTGTGGACTTCATACAAAATTATAGTAGAAAAGGCCACGAGACACCTCAGGTAAGTTGATTTATTACACTTTTGACTACTTCTGTGTCTGACACAGTTTCATCCTGAACATATTAACAATTTGATTAGCATTAGCTAATAATAAGACTCCTTATATAACCCTTTCCTCTTAGAAGTTGTGTGTGTAGGAGGGGGATGTGCATGTGTGGATGTACATGTATGACTGCACAGGCATTGAACCCAAGGCTCCATGCCTGAAAGGCTTGGCTACAACGCTGACATTGAGTGACGTACCTAGCCTTCTTGGAAACTGGATTCTGTACTTTTGGGAAAAACTCACCTTTTATTGGAGTTGGTTAGCATTTCAGTGTATAATGAGTTCAGAGGGTGTTTGGACATGAATTCCTGATTGAAAATATATTGATTCATTCCACACATTTTGTCCAGTTCTTTTTTTCAGCAGAAAGTTTTTTACTCCTTTGCTATCTCTCAAATGAATTTCTGTTTTGTAATATATATGGAATTTGAAATTCCCCAATATTTTTAGTGTACTTTAGAATGGGAAGTTAAAATATGATTCCTTATCCAAATGACTCTTCATTTGTTGAGTTGTTTTGGGCCACTTCCTGTGTACAGTGTTTTACATATTTTATTTCTAATCCTGACAACTAACTAGAGTGTAATTGCTGTTGCCAAGCTGAAATTTAAATGGTTTAGATATCATATTGAAGGGTATGCTATCAGTATCTGAAAGAGGTAGGGTCAAAAGTACTCCCAAATCTGATAACTTCTTACTCTTCTATCCATATTTTATTCAGAAAATGTAATATTTAGGTGTCAACTGAATGATGAATGCTTTATCTTATTATGGTCACAGAAATAAGAGCAACTTCTTAGATTTTGATGCACATTATAGCAGTTAAGATTCATCTTCTTTCATCACTGTCATGCAAGTGAACTAACGAAGTGATAATTTTCCCTTCAACTTTTTCTGGGAGGGTTTTAAATGGGTAAAGATCAAGTCTGCCTTTTTTTTTTTTTTTAAGTGCTTTTAAAAATTGTTTCATTTTGTTATCACAATTTGAAGATAGTAATAAATTGAGAAATATTTTCCATGAAAATTACATTGCCTGAGAAGTAAATAGATATAAATTTGAGTCCGTTTCAACTAACCTTTGGAAAGAAGGCCTGAAGGCTCCCTCAGGAGTGTCTCCACTCTCACAATAGGAAATGATGGGTGGAACTTTTTCTGCATGAAAATTCCTTCTCTGTTGTGAAAGAGACTTAAGGGTGGTCTACTCATTAAGTTAGTTCTGAAGTCCAAAGAGTGAATAGTAACTGATATCTTCTCTTTTCCATTTGCTAAATGCTTATTGGTATAGCCTCAGCCAAACAGCAAGTACAAAACTAGCATGTGCCGAGATTTGCGACAACAAGGGGGTTGTCCACGAGGAGCAAATTGTACATTTGCCCATTCTCAGGAAGAGCTTGAAAAGTAAGTCTGGAGAAATGTCTTTCATATAGGGTCATTCATTGAGGGAGTGCTATATACAGTATTACCTTTTGTGATGTTTCAAAATACAAGTAATTTGAATTGCAAAATAGCTATTTTTTTTAACCCATGAGAAGATTAAACTAGGAATAAAATTAGCATTAAAAGGTCATACTTGAAAAGAAAGTCATATTTGGAAACTTTGATAACTGGAATCCATGTTTCTTTTAACCTGTGTAGAATGAAAGTACTATTTGCCTTTATCTTATTTACTCAGGTTCAGTTGAACATATCAGCAAAATCTCAGGCAAAATGTAGATATTTTTCTGACTTTTGCTCTTGACATTTTTACATTTTACTTTTAACATTTTTCTGTAAGTTACTGAGTAAAAAAAAAAAAGAAATATAAAAGATATAAAAGGAGGAAATGACTGCTCCTAGGTATGGTGGAGGAGAATATTTATTGTTGATAAAAAGGAGAGCATAGCCAGAGGCAGAGACATCTGCGAGAGTCTAGAGTGAAACAGACCCTAAGCCAGGCCATGTGAGGAGAGTTGTGGGGATAGGGAGCCAGGAGACCAAGAGGCCAGGAGGGTAAAGGTTTGACAAAAAGGACTGGGTAACAAAAATGTCTGGATTACATAGGGAAGGGTATGCCAGTCATAACCTTATAACAGATAGGGACTGAGACTGAGGGCAGCTGGTAGAACCTGGTAGTTTTGTCTGCTTTGATATGTTAAATAGACACCTCAGCCATTTGTCCTGGCTTTGAGACCTAACAGTTACTACTACTTTGTCTATTTACTTTGGACATAAAAGTAAATTATAAGAGTTTTCATCAAAACCCACCAAAAAAGTGACCTAGGCTTTCTGTTAAGTAACTGACATTTTACCACCTCTTAGTGTGCATCTGTATTTTGTATTCAGTGAGCTAATTGTCTCCTGATGTCCCTTTAGGGTCTTTGTGCTATTGGTTTCTGCCTTTTAAAACTAGTTATGCAGGGCATGGTTTGGGAATCTCCTCTGTCAGCAATCTCTCTGTGCTCTTTCCTGTATAGTCATTGGCTAAGTTCTGCCATTCCAGCTTCCGGGGTCTTAAGCTATCATCACAAGTTTTTGATCTCTCCTATTCTTGTTTTTGTTGGTTTTTTTTTTTTTTTTTTTTGAGACAGGATTTCTCCGTGTAGCCTTGGCTGTTCTGGAACTCACTCTGTAGACCAGGCTGTCTTTGAACTCAGGTGTGCCTGCCTCTGCTTCCTGAGTGCTGACATTTAAGGCATGCGCCACCACTGCCCAGGCCTCCTAACTTCATAATAATGTATTTACTTATATTTTATATGCATTGGTGTTTTGCCTGCATGTTTGTCTGATCCTGGAGTTACCGATAGTTGTTAGCTGCCACGTGAGGGCTGGGAATTGAACCCAAGTACTGTGGAAGAACAGTCAGTGAGTACCCTTAACCACTTGTTGAGCCATCTCTCCAGTTCCCCTCCTAACTTCTTACATCTACTGTTGCTCATGTAGTCTCCTGTTATTTTCACAAAGCAGAGAAATCTTTTAAAAGCAAAGTTCTTCACATGTTGCTTTCCTTTTCTTCTCTCTGATAGTTCTTGTTGCCTTCCAGTTAAAGATGCAAAATGGAGGTTATGACCAATAAATTCCCTGCTTTTTCAGATGTCATCTCATAACTTTTTTTGAGACAGGGTTTCTCTGTGTAACAGTCCTGGCTGCCCTGGAACTTGCACTGTAGACCAGACTGGTCTTGAACTCAGAGATCCACCTGCCTCTGCCTCCTGAATGCTGAGATTAAAGGTGTGTGCCACCATTGCCACCTAACTCTGATTTGCACTCTTAGCTTCAAGCCACTGTGGTCTCCTATTGGTTTCTGGTGCGTACTGTGTGCCTTTAACCTTCATATCATCCCCATGTGCTGTTCTATCCTTTCCTCTGGGACTTTTCCTTACCCTGTTCCTCATTCATGTATTCAGCAGGATCCCTTCACTTCTTCATGTGAGCTAGAATCTTTGTCACATTTATTGATGGATTTAATGAAAGCTCTACTTTAGAAGTTGACATTCTTTTTTCTGTGAGGTTCGTATAGAAAATATTTTTGGATTTGTAGGGTAAACAGTTTCTTTTATAACCACTTAATAGCCAGCCACTGACAATGTGTAAAGTGGGCATAGCTGTAAACATTACTTAGAAAGATAAGCAGGTTTGGCTCGTGTTGCAGTTACCAGTTCCTAATGTAGTTACTATCTGTCTTCCATAAATATATTTATATGTATATCTATGTTTATACATCTTTATATTGTATATATTTTATACTGTATATATCTTTATTATACATATATGTGTATTTGTATAATTTATTGTTGTCTCCTTTCCTCTGTGGTCAGCATGTTAGGATCTCTGTAGCTGTAGCTGCACCATGATAAGAAAAAGTGTGTTTGTGTAGAGAAGACTAGGAATATGCTTCTCTTTTCTGACACCGCTCCCCCCCCCATTTAAAACACCTAGAAAAGCTGCAAAAAGACTGCTATGTTCATAGGCTTAGCTCTGGGTGTAGAATTTGTATTATATAATTAAAAGGTTTTTTTTGCTTATGTATGTGTATGTATCTTTGTATGCATGCCCATGGAAGCCAGAAGAGGGCACAGGTCCCTTGGAGCTGGAGTTATGGGCAGTTGTGAGCCCCCTGATGTGGTTACTCTGATCTGAACTTGGATACTCTGGAAGAGCAATAAAGACTCTGAACCATTTTTTTAGGCTCTAGGACTGTGTTTCTCACTTTTCTTAATGCTGTAACCTTTAATACATTTCCTCATGTTGTGGTGACCGCCAACCATAAGATTATTTTTGTTGCTACTTCATAACTGACTTCTGCTGTGTTAAACATTTTAATGTGCCAGGCAGTGGTGGCACACGCCTTTAATCCTAGCACTTGGGAGGCAGAGGCAGGTGGATCTCTGTGAGTTCGAGGACAGCCTGGTCCACAGAGCGAGATCCAGGACAGGCACCAAAACTACACAGAGAAACCCTGTATTGAGAAAAACAAAGAAAGAAAAGAAAAAATTTTAATGTAAGCTGGGTGGTGGCGGCACACACCTTTAATCCCAGCACTGGGGAGGCAGAGGCAGGCAGATCTCTGTGAGTTTGGGGCCAGGCTTAACAGAGTGAGTTCCAGGACAGCCAAGGCTACACAGAGAAACTCTGTCTTGAAAAACTTTTTCCTGCTGATTGGGGTGAAGTGGGGAGGGGGATGTTTCGAGTTACACACAGTAGGCGGTGTGAGTGAAGAAGCGTTCTGTGAGGGAGCTAAGAAGGCAAGTTACTTGGAAAAAAAATAGATTGTTATCATTGGCCTCATGAGTGGGGCTACCCATGGGAAGAGTGATAACTGCCAGAAAGAATGGGATGGAGAAGTGCCCTGGTGCACAGAAGAGGCAGTGTGGATGAGCCGGATGAAAGAGCAGATATGCCCTTGAGTCTGGAGTAGTGATACCAGCAGTGATGTTCCAGGAGCTTGGGGGGGGAATGGCATGCCAAATCAGGAGTACAGAGCCATCACATCTGCTGTTTCTCTGGAGGTAGGAAATGCCTCCATCCATCCTGTAAAAGTGTCAACAAATTAGGAGATAATGGAGTTTTTTATAAGTAGGCATGTGGCTGAAGCCAACCTGCCAGTATTCACCTGGTTGGTGTCCTTGGTGGGTACAGTGGCTGGTGGTGTATCTGGAGGGCCTTTGAGGATCTGACCTTGGCACGAGTCTGGCAAGAGAGGTAGATCTGTGCAGGAACTTGCAAAGTGTTTATAAAACAACTGGAACAGACTTACATCTTGGTGTCATAGCAAAAGCTGTGGTTTGGGGTTAAAAGGTATGAACATTTTCTAGGGCCTGGTTTCAGCCCAGTGCAACACATCTTTAAATCTCTAACCAGAGGAAATTTACTGAATGGGAGTGGTTGAGTGAGTGAAGGAGGAGGAGGGAGGCTTCCATAACCTCTCTAATGCTAGCCTGTCTCTAAAAGCTGGGACCAGTAAAGTCCACGGAAATTTAAGGACTCCCAAGACTGTCTGTAGTCAGTGCTCTATCAGTTTTATCAAAACTGCATTTATCAGTGTTAAAACTCTGAACCTCTGAAGTTACATTTGAAACCAGTTTATCCTGTATCATGAAGTCTATGAATGAGGCACACCTGTCTGTACTTTTAACAGGAAACTTACTAATGAGCTACCAAGGTGCTTTGGAGTTGGTGGAGAGAGCTGTTAGAACTGGCAAACACCATCAGATCTGAGAAGGATAAGTAAGTGAACAGAAGTGAGACAGCTTTCCTACCTATCTTCACATAAACAAACCTTAAAGTACCTTCTCTTTTTCTTTTTTCTTTTTTTGAGACAGGGTTTCTCTGTGTAGTTTTGGTGCCTGTCCTGGATCTCTGTAGACCAGGCTGCCCTTGAACTCAGAGAGATCTGCCTGGCTCTGCCTCTTGCTTGAGTGCTGGGATTAAAGGAGTGCTCTTACCGCCACCTGACTTCCTTCTTTTTTTCTAATTCACCAGGAGATACTGAGAGCAGCCACTACAAAGTGAGTTTATCCCTTTTTTGAGTCTGGTAGGAAGGTGAACTGTGTCTAGACTTGGTATTAGCTCTAAGAGAATGAGGCCTGTGAATTTTACTGAGAAGGCAGCTGAAGGAGTTGCTGCTGTTGGACTGACAAAATCTGGTTGTCAAATGACATCAGAAATCTGAGAAGGATAAATTTTACCTGAGTTAGCCATTGAAAGTGATAGACTTACCTGCTGGCTACTAGACAGTTACCTCAGGGTCCTCCACCATGGTCATTGAGAGCAGAGGTCTCAGGGCAACAACATCAGTCTTCGGCTGCCAGGCCTCAGAAGATCCAACAGTTGTTGGGTAGAGACTTGTGGGAACGACCAGCCTACCTTGTCTAGACAAAAATGAGGCATTAGATTCCCAGAGTCCTGTTGTCCAGGGTCTG